GAAGTGAATAGAAAAATCAAAAATACAAAAAAAAAAGTGGCAGAAAACTTGAGTGAAGCACTGTTCCTTTGAAGTGTCCTTTAGGATCTTAAAGTTTCATTCTCTGAATCAGTTTCTGCTTTGCTTTGGGGGTTTGAAATGGATTGAGATTGAGTATGTTAAATATGATTTAATGTTTTGTTGGGTTGACAATCGTTTGAACTGGTTATTCTGGGCGGTTACACATCATTTCTGGGTTTGAAGTCTGTTTTGCTAGCTGTTTTGTTGCTGATTCCTGCTGTTCTTATTGTTGATTCCTCATCTCTGTTTTCTCCCATTTCCAGGTACTCATTTCACTTTCCAATGTATGAAAATGGATAAATATGAAGAATGGATCATTTGAATGGAGACGTTTACTGATGCAGTTGGTTGGTCTATGTTTTCTGCACTTTCGAGAACTGTATATCTTAGTTTAATTTTCTTATGTTTCTTTCTTCTGTTTGTTCTGAGTAAAGATTGCTGTAATAATGATCAGTTTGATTGTTCATTGTGGGGTGTCAGATGTGTAGGGGAGGCATTTTGAATACTTGGCATTGTTTGAACTTGTATGTGTCCACAAAGATGGACATCTAGTCTATTTGTTTGTACTGTTAAAAGGGGAAGCATGATTATATAGTTAGATGTTTCTATAGGTTTCAGTTTGAATATGTAAATATCAAATAAACAGGTTAAACATAACACGTAGCTAGGGTGGTCATTATTTCAATACCAATTACTGCTTTCTAGAGGCTAGTTGTTGATAGGTTGTTTTGGGTGTCAAGTGCTGATTCTGAAAGTTGTTAATATTTTCCCTTACTATAGTTTTAAATATCAAAGTGACATGACATCTACATGTAAAGAGTTTTGTTCAATGTTAAAATGAGGGTACTGCCTATGCTTTAAAATCAGAAATATCTCACTAATGGTTGGAATGATTCATGAGCAAATCAGTGTTCTGTTTGGCTTCAGGGGTTCGATCCTGAATCTCCTGTTTGCAGCCGGAGTGTGCTGAAATACTTGGGCCCTTTGGGCCTGAGTATTATTGGAGTCCTTTAAGTCAAAGGGAGCCCCATTATGTTTGAGCAGCTTCCTGGCTTAGAGATTTGGGCTTGTTTAATTCAGGCCCTCCCACTAATGGGATGGTTTTTTTATGAAAGCCTCGAAGTTGGAAAGGAATTTGTTTGGATAATTCACTCAAAATGGAGTTCAAATACCCTAGTGTTTAATTAACTTGGGCCCTGAAAAGGGAATTTGAGGTGAACCATAATTAGACAATTCATAATGAATGGCCCTCATAGATTAATTTAAAGACCTTTAAGCTAAAATAAATTGAGGTGCGCCGCGCCAAACAAAATTCACAAATTGCGTGGCCCTCCTTAACTATTTCTTTAAAATACTTAGAACTCGGGACGTGCCATTTAGCGAATTTTCATGGCCTCCCGCAAAGTTAATAAAACGCGTAGTTACTTTAGGCGCGGGTTTTAATAATCCACTTTCCTAAACTCGGGTGCACATTTATGTGACCCAAATCCAAATCTCAACGATGTTAAAATATGTCAAAAACCACGGGTGCATTTATGTGACGTGGTTCAAGACGTGTTTTAATAACTTTGCAATATTCCTTAAATTTAAATAAAAGCGGTAAATAAAATTGTCGATCTAGAGGCAGAGGCGACACTTCCAAATTGAGGGGTGAACCTTCCTGGGGTCGAGGCAAGAGTGCTTTACCCCTTGCCCTACAAAAGATAATCACAATTGCATAGCCCTTCGAGTCTAGTTCTTATGTCCCTTCGAGGGAAGCTCCGGAGGGAAACTCGGTTCAATAGAAACCGGCTGTCCAGTCAAAGCCACCAAGAAGGTATCAACTCAGAGATGAGTCATCCACATCTCAAAGCACTTCCGAAGGTTCGGAAAGTGCTAGTCAGGCTTCTGGGCCATCCTCTACACCTGTCCCTGAGGCACCAGATAGTAATATTGATGACATCCCCGATGATAGTAGAGGGGGAGATGCTACAGCTGCTGGCCTTGAAAGGTCGAAGAAGAAAAATTTCTAGGAAGACTGCTTTGTTAGTCTGGCTGCCTTCACCAGCTTCCGCACTTGGCAACCAGTAAGGTCGCTTACTCTTGAGCGACAGTTTCAGTTGAAAGACCTAGAGAGGTATAACCCAGCAGTTTTGAGATAGCTTGGAGAACGCAAAAGGTGGATGTGGTTTACCCAGAGCGTGGTGGATGCTAAGGAGTACCTTGTTCGGGAATTCTACTCCAATGTGGCGCATATCAAGAAAAGGACAAAGGTGACAAAAGTGAGAAACCTCAAAGTACGCTTTGATCAGCACATGGGATATGACGATGTCGAGCCCACAGAGTACATAGAGAAGTGTGCACTTGGAGATGCAGCTCGTCCTTGGTTAGCAGATATTCTAGCTCCACCAGGACCACCACCACCATGGATCACAGCATGGGTGCCTATCCAGAGAAGCACTCTGAGTGTCGAGGCAAAGCGGTGCAAACCTTTGTCTGCAGCAGACTAGACCCGAGTCAGAATGAGACATATCTTCCGATTCCTCGGGAAGTGCTAGTTGCCTCTGTCATGGCTGGTACCCTATCAATGTGGGTGTCGTGATGTCGGTCAACATCTCAGTGATTGCTCGGCAGTATGATTCTTCCTACCCGTATCCCAATACCATTACAGAGTGCCTCACTGATGTGCAAGTAGAGTCGAGGGATTACGACACAAAGGTGCGGCTGAAGAAGCCCTTCTAATGGTATTCTTTGATGGATGCAAACAACCCTAAGAGAAAAAGTCTTCCGTCTACCACCACAGTTATATCTAGGGATTATGACACAAAGGTGCGGCCGAAGAAGCCCTTCTAATGGTATTTAGCACATGTTATATCTTTTATTTGTCATGTTTACTCCCATGTGCTTTATTTGAAGTTGTTATTACAAGCCACATCCTTTACTTGTCAAGTTTACTCTTATCTGCTTTATTTGAAGTTGTTACTTCTTTTATCATTATGTGACTTCCTTTATTGTTGAGTTATTTCTAATTGAAATTGTTGTTACATGATATCTTTTTATTGCCGGGTTATTCTCATGCATTTAGACGTAGTTGCTATCTCATGCAGCCTATTTCATATATTAGAATCTGAAGTAGCCACTTCATGGAAATGCCTTCATTATCGAGTTTATCGTTAATCAATTAATGGAAGTTGAAGTTATTAAAAGTCACTAATTTATGTGAATTGAAGTTGTGTTTAAAGGGGGTGTTGTTCATTGTTGAGTTACTTTTCCGTTCATTTTTTTATTATTGAGATTCTATATATATTGTGTTTGAGCCGTGGGATATTCGTTGTGGATATATTGATATTGTTGGTTCTTTTGGAAAGTTTGTGGCCTATGGGCACCTATTGTACGAGTTGATATGTTTGTTGTTGTGATGTTAGCACATGTGAATTGTTGTGTGGATTGGTTGTTATTATGCGGAGCATAAGGGTGGCATCTCACTGTTGTTGTTATGAGGAGCATAAGGGTGGCACCTCATTGTTGTTAATTGTGCGGGGTGATACGGGTTGCTATTGTGATATTGTTCGAATAAGGGATAAGGGTGGCTATTATGCACAGTGTTATGGGTGGCTATCGGAGTGATATGGATGGCTAATTATATTGTCAGGACGGAGTGATACGGGTGGCTATCGGAGAGAAAGGGTTGGGAATGTAAGGGGAATTATGTTGATGATATTCGTGTGTTAGGGTGATTCTTCTTGTGTATCTTATTACACCTTACGTGACTTGTTGTGTTGCTTTCAATGAGCTACTCGATGTCTTTGATATTACTTGTTGACTTGGGCAGTACTAGTACACTCGCACAAGCATAAACCATAGCATGCCACTTATACTTGTCAGGAGTATGAAACCTGACGTTCATTGATCATGTCCATGTATTCTTGTATTATTTGCTTTCATGTCGATATTGAGCCTGTGACCACGCCAGGCAGACTGTGATATTGAGCCTGTGACCATGCCAGGCGGATTGTAATTGTGAGCATGTGATCATGTCGGGTGAATTGAGATATTGGCACGTGAGTTGTCTGTGCAGTTTGTGATAAGAAATGTGGGCACAAGATGCCGTGAGTATATGATTGTGGGTTGAGACTCGTGACTTTTGATTTTGAGATGAGGTATCTCGTAATAATTTCATTCCGAAACTTGTGTTGGGGCGACTTGATTAATTGGTTATTATTTGTTTTCCTTATTTGGTTTCAATGGTACTTTCACGGTGTTCGTATTACTTAAACGTTATATCATATCTTGATTCTTGTTGCCATTTACTGATTCATGCTTTCATTATTAGCTTTATACTTCTATACTACACATGTAATTTTGACTAGTAAGTGTCTTGACGTGTACCTCGTCACTATTCCACCGAGGTTAGTCTTGATACTTACTGGTACAGACCGTGGTGTACTCATACTACACTTCTGCACGTTTTTATGCAGATCCAAGTATGGAGATATCGAAGTCACGAAACGTTAGCTTGTTGATCATGAGGATTCAAGGTAGAGCTGCTTGGTCGTCGCAGTCCCTTGGAGTCCTTTCATTTCATTGTAGTGTCAGCTTGTTATTTGAACAGTATTGTATTTCGATCTTTGAGATCTTTCCATGTATTCAGCTAGTATTCGTAACTCTGTATTACCTAGTCTTGGGAGGTTGTAGTGATTATTGCCGCGTCGGCTTATTTCATATTTATTTCGGTATTTTATATAATTCTCTAATTTAAATATCATTATTAAATTGGCTTAATTGGGGTAAGAAACCAGCTTACCTAGTCTTAGAGACTAGGTGCCATCACGACGATTGAGGCGGGTTTTTGGGTCGTGACAAAATTCCTTATACATTGCAAGATATAAGCTCCCGAATTCAGCTTGGTGACCCCAGAATTTCTGCTTTGCGAACGCGATTCACAGGTCAAATATTACGTTTTACTCTTCGCGATCGCGGCCAAGAGCTCCGCGGTGGCGAAGTGCACCCCTGTAGCCAAAAACCAACAGTTGAAAAAGGCCTAAAAATAATCTGAAACTACCCCGAAACTCACCTTAGCTCCTCGGGACCCCGTCCAATTGTACCAACAAGTCCATAAACCTAATCCAAATTTATCCAAAAGCTCGAAACATCACAAATAACATCAAAAGTAAGAGTCGAAGATCAAGATCATTCTCTTTTCAAACTTCGTCGAACTCGTCCGAATCCTACCAAATAAACTCCGAATGAAATCGAACTTTGCACACAAGTTTCAAATGACAAAATGAACCTATTCTAACTCTCGAAATATCAATCCAAACCCGATAACATCGAAGTCAACTCCCGGTCAAACCTATGAACTATCCAAAGCTTTAAATTGCCAACTTTCGCCAAATAGTGTCGAAACCTTCTAGAAACATCCAAATGCAAATCCTGGCGTACGCCCAAGTCCAAAATTACCATTCGGACCTAATGGAACCATCAAAACTCCGTTCCGAGGTAAACTATACAAAAGTAAAATTTAGTCAACTTTTCCAACTTAAAGCTTCTAAAATGAGAATCATTCTTCCAAATCAATAAGAATCACCCAAAAACCAAAACCGACGATTCACACAAGTCATAATACATCATGCGAAACTACTCATGCCCTGGAACCACCGAACGAAATACAAATGCTCAAAACGACCGATCGTGTCGTTACAAAATTAATGCTTAATTTGGTGTTAAGGGAGAATTAATAACAATTTAAATGGAGATAAGTGATGAAACAAAGACTATTTATACAAGATTAGTTCAAGCTTATGTGAATTAGACAAAAGAAGCAAGACGTAACTGTAATGTTAATTGGCAACAACTTTCAGTTGTATTTATTTGAATCATATTTTAAAATAGAAGCATCAACTTTGAAATTATACGAAATGATTTGTGAAAATTTGACTACAAGCCATTAGAAGATTCATTTATCACTAATAATAAGTACATAATTATCTAGTTATATATAGCTTGAGCATCTTTGAAGCCTAAACTATTTTGAGGTTTAAAACCACTCCTTTAGCGGTTATGCAAGACCCTATCCCCATGGACAAAACTTAATCATATAGTCAGTTCCTGAACATGTATATAAAGCATCTTCATCAAAAGGATAAGTATAAGAATAAGGACAGAATTCCTTGTATTGTTTAGAGTAGCTCGACGGCTTGCATGTTTGTGGAGAACTATATGCACCAGTGCAACATAAATCATCTTGCCGATACGCCATACATGCGCTTTTGCACCCAATGACATTATTACCTTGATCTCGTATTTCAAACTCTTCTTGTTCTGCACAATGCACGTCGTTCAAATCCATGAGACAACCTATATGACTGCAATCAGTTCTATTAATAGGGATAACAGAGACTGGTAGATTAAAACCATCGACTATGCTAACTGAGTAAAAATCATTTGCCCCAGACCAGCTTGCTAATGTAAATTGTACAATGGTTATTGGTGGAATGCCACCTGCACCATTGCACGTTATTTGGCCTGATGCACAATCTCCGCTAACACAAGTGAAATTTCTACCGTATTGGGCGCAAAGATATCTCGCCCATAATCTTCCTGACCATGAGTTTGGTACCTCAAGTGTTTGTGATGCTTTTGATTCTAATTCGAATCCTGTAGAAATCGTCGCTCCTTGACTAGTTTGTGTAGCTGGCCAAATTGTGTGATTGCAGTTGTTCTTTATTGTCAATTTGGTTGCATAAGACCCTGCAGAATGTCATTTCCAAAGCATAAACATTAACATCATCATACAAATTATAGTGAACACTAATAAAAGAGTTATTTTCACTTGTTTTCTCCATCTATACCAAAAAAAGAAGATATTCTGACTTGAAATCATGCAAGCAATCATGGTATCGCAGTTTTTGAGTACTACCACCGCTTCAAGGGACTAAATGCTTTATTTTATCAGAAAAGAGAATTAATATACAATTATTTAACCAAGAGGGTAGGCACCAAAATTAAAATTACCATAGAGGAAGAACACAGAGAAGATAACAGCAATGAGAAAATATACCCTCATCCTTGAATATTTTATCAAAGATTTTATTTTATGAACTGAAATAGACATGACTTGAATCTATATAAGTCCTAAAACAGAAGAGTTACATGAGAAATGTGTAGTCAACTATTTTGTTGGCTAAGATTTATAGCAATAAATGTAAAATTGTCCTGTCTATAAAAGGTATTAAATCCTCTAAAGATATTACGGAAGTCATACTTGCAAAGAACATCTGAACCTGATCAATTTAATTTCTTCTACATCTGTATGTTGTTCCCAAGTCAAGTCTTAAATATGATTTTGGGAAAATGCATAAATAGTTCGCTCTGATTTGCAGTTGCATGATAATAAGGTTAATAGCAATAAATTTAAATTTATCCTCCCTTTAAAAGGTACTCCCTCAATTCAATTTTACTTGGTAAGTTTTGACTTTCCATGCCCCTTAAGAATAATAAATTAAGTGCATAATTTACTATGATACCCATATTAATTGATGCATATTTTATCGGATTTGAGGAAATGATTTGAAATGAATAATATATACTGTGGGTATAACAGGAAAATTTTTTTGTCTTCTCTTGATATGCGTAAAGTGACAAATAAAAATGAAAATCGATTTTTAGTATCTCTGCCAAGTAAAAGTGAACAGAAAGAGTATTATAATCTGCTAAAGAATACTGAGACATGATTGGCAAGAATATGTGAGAACCTATTCAATCTAATTTTCGCTAAATTTGTTGGTTGTTTCTCGGTCAAGTCTTAGAGTGTGTTTGGTACGAAGGAAAATATTTTTCGGAAAATGTTTTTCCTACCAAGAGAAGGGAAAACATCTTCTAAAACTCTTTTTCGACATTCCCCACTCTTTCTCCATCCCCACAAACCCACCCCACACCCCCACATAACCCAGCCCAACCCTACTTTACCCTACCTCCACCTTCGCTCCCTACCCCATCCTAAATAAAAATATTATTAATAATACTTTCTTTTCATGTAATAGATAAAAAAATATCATTTCAACAAATGAGTATTTTCTTTTCACATATCCATGGCAAATCAATATTCAGTCAATGCAGTAGTCACTCAGTTCGGTATCTCAACAGTTCGGTAATCATGTATTCATTCAGTTTAGTATGCAAGTGTTAATGAAAGTTCATGTTCCCGCCCGTTTAAGGTCCGGATTTAGCAGAAGTTACAGTCAGGATAATCATTCGAGGACGAATGATCCCAAGGGGGAGAAGTTACAAATTAGAGGCTTCATAGACTAGAGTAACAGTTAGACAGAGTCGTAGGCTTTTCATATTAAGCTATGTGGCTACAAATATGTTTCAGAATTGTATTAGTATTTTCGTACTTTGATTTATATCATCCAGACTTTCAGTATATCAGCATGTGTTAGTTTATCTTCCGCATTTAGTATGTTATGATACCACATGTTGGTTCAGCCAGCCAATTGGTTCGCTCGGTCACATGTAGTCAGGCATCGAGTGTCGTGTTACGTCCAGGCCCAGGTTCGAGGCGTGATAAGTATTTTCTTTTCATGATATAAAAAGGTATTTTTTTTCATTTTAACAAAGTATTTTCGATATAGAAAAAGTTTTTTTTTATTCCAACAAAATGAGTGTTTTTTTTCATGATGTAAAAAATATATTTTCTTTTATTTCAATAAAATGATTACTTTATTTTCATGTTGTAAAAAGAGTACTTTCTTTTTCAACCAAAAAAGAGCATTTTCTTTATAATTATGGAGTATTTGTGTGAATTTTCGAAGAATATTAATTGTTGACGAAAATAAAGTGCTTAAAATGTTGGGTATCTGGGGAGGAGGGATGGAGCGCAAGGAAATAGGGAAATGCGCTCCTCTAACAAATACATTTCAAAGGTTTTTTTGCTTCTCCATTTTGGTGAAGAATCGGTTGAAACCAAACTCCATCCAAAAGTAAAAACAATACGTCTTCCTAATGAAAAGGAAAAATATATCAAAGTAGTAGAGCTATTGGATAGGCTCTGACGCCTCAAAATTGAGGAGCAAGAATTCTCAAAGAATCAACATATTGTAACGATTCAATCCATCGTTTTGAGTTTTAACTTTTCGTTTTATGATTTGAGACCCTTAGTAACTTTATTTGATGCATTATGTCTTGTGTGCATGGTTCGTTTCAACTTCCGGTAAGTTTAGATGTGTTTTGGTAGAAAAATTCAATTCTAAAACTTTAACGTTGTTGGAGTAGACCCCAACCAACATTCATCATAAATGATCTCGAATCGATATTTTGACGATTCTGATAAGTTCGTATGATGATTTTATTTACTTGTACATATATTTTGTTTGGATCACCGGCGACTAAAGGTCATTTCAACGCTTATGGTTGAAAGTTGAAAGTTTAAAAGTTGAGTTCATGAACATTTAAATCTTTGAGTTTTGATGCCTCATTCTTAGTTTTGTTGTTTTGAGCATACGAGCGAGTTCGTGTGAGGTTTAAATACGTTTTTGCATGTTTGGGTGGAGTCCCGAGGTGCTCGAGCGAGTTTCAAAATTGTTTCGAGCTATTTTGAAAAGTGCTGAATTTGTTGGTGTTGCTATTGTCGCAATTGCTAGAGCAGGTTCGTGAATGCGAGGTCCGCATTTGCGAATGTTGACTCGCATTTGCGAATGTTGACTCGCATTTGCGAAATTTAGGAGAGCTTAGGTTTCGTTGCATTGCAATGGATTGTCCACAAATTTGACGTCTGCATTTACGAATGTTACTCACATTTGCAAAGGAGCCCAACCTAGGGGAGGTTTGCAATTGTGAAGACTTGGTCGTATTTGCGATGTTCACAGTTGCGAAGTCCAGGTCTCAATTGCGATTTCTAAACTGACGCTTGTTTGCAATTGCAATTGCAAACTAAGTAGTTGTATTTGCGATGTTCTCATTTACAAATAATCTTGTTCTCATTTACAAATAATCTGCAGTTGGGTAGAAGTGAAGAGATTTGAGATTAGCTCATTTTATCCCATTTTTGAGACCTAGACATCGTTAGGAGGCAATGTTTTAGAGGATTTTCTTTTTAACTTCAAAACTTAGTAACATTAACTTGTTTTTGATTAATATCCATTATTCCTCATATATTTTTACTCCTAAATCTAGGACTTTATAGAATAAAAAAAGGTTTTTGAATAGTAACTTAAGATATGAATTTTTGGAGATTTTAACCCCGATTTGAGGTTGGATCTCCAAAACAATTACATATTTGAAACTTGGATGAATTGATCATAGGGATTGTCACGCCCCGACCTAGGAGAGCTCGAGCGGCGCTCAACCGAGATATCCCGATCAAGCAAGCGTACTTGATTCCTTCTACCCAACCTTACCCTTGAACAATATAAGAATCAATAATACGATACAGATACGAGAAGAGTAAATAGTTCTACATTCTTTTTTCATTACTCAAATGAGATTCATTTTACAATTTTCAAAATATCACAAGTTCATAATTACGAGAGAAAACATGTTTGCCAAATATCAACACTTCTAGTTCATCACCCAACATCAAACACCACCCACAACATGTCTAAGGAGCCTCTAAGTATAACATAAGAGTAGTATGGAAGTGCTGGCAATAAGGCCCCGGCAATACCTCAAAGCACTATGTACAATGTCAAGTGACATAAGGCCCGGGACAGAATATGGCTCATCAAAACCTGCTGAGTAGAGGATAACTACTAACGAGGATCAAAGTTGCCTACTGGCAAACCACATTTATCCATTAAAGATGCAGCGCCCCGGCAAAAGGGACGTTGGTACATATGGAATAGTACTAGTATGTAACGATAAACACCCTCTCAAAGAATTGAGTAGCAGTACAAGGAGAAATAACATAAGATTAAGAAGAGCCTCAAACAATATAAAAATATCAAGTTAAGAAGAAGATAACTTTTTCCAAGTAAATATTATATTTTTAAGTTGGGAGATCTTTAGTACTGATATACCATCGTGTTTTAGCACAGAGTCGGATTACGGCCCAATCGGCTAAGCCATCTCACCCAAAGACATCCAATCACAAAACCACCGTACTTTTATCACGGAGTTTGGTCTCAGCCCAATCGGCTAAGTCGTCTCATCCCAAGACATCCCACCACAACACCACCATGTGCGCAACATGGCGTCTGATCACAACCCGATCGGCTAGGTCTTCTACCCATATATGTCGTGTAAGTCGACATCCAATCCAAAGTTGAAATAATCTCATCCAATCAAGGGAAACAATCTCATCACATCAAATCCATCCTATTTAAGGAGAACAATCTCAACACATCAGTACGGGGATCACCCTTCAATCACACCTACACCGGCACGAGTAGTTTTGGGGTTAGTTTTTTCCAACCTACCCTTCCTCAGTGAATAACGATACTCCCAAAAATATTTTTGTTTTGGAGACAGAGGAAACAAAAGTACAAATACATTCACCTCATAACCTTTCACACCATATAATAGCTTCATTAGTACTTTAAACCACTCACAACATCATTATTTCATTGGCTCTCTTGACCAAAATATGATTCTTCATTCATGGCACGGTGGTCGTATCTCATATTTCATACTTTTATTTCTTTACTATCATAAATATCAACATATAGAATATTCTAGGAATCATAACTCTAAGTTCATTAGTAGTGAAGGCTTTAGGCACAATGGATTTTTTTTCACAAAAATGGGGCAAAATGATTGGCAATCGAAGCACAAGTTAAAAATCTTAAACGAGTGACACACAATTTATTCTTGACATACTTTTTCCCAAAAGGGCAATAAATAATTTCAACTCATGAATATGTAAGAACTCAAAACACATTGAAAATACTTACAAAGCATAGCATGGTGATTTACGATTGAAACAGGCTTTCAAATCATAGGCCTTAAGTATATATATGAGCAATATGAGTCTTACGCGCATTGAGTTTTTATTCCAAGTTACGCATAACAGACTTTTATTTGAAACATGAGTTGAGGTCATAACATTTTAATTCATAAACCATACTTGAACATGTTGGAAATCATGATGAGATTAGAGCAATTGGAACACATCTTGAATATGTACATCTTTTAACACAATGCTTACTCAGGATAATAGACTTTATTAGGAACAACATTGGAACATGGGAATAAGGAACCTGGGCCAACCATACTTGAAACTTACGGGAATATCATGAAATTCGATTCTAAGATAGAATTTTAGCCAACATACCTTTCTTTAGCTTTCCTTAGGTTACTACAACCTCCCAATACTCCTAGCAACCTTAATCTGTATAAACATAACAAAATTTTACCATAGTTAGGAAGGAGTTCAAAGATTTAGCCCATTTTGACATTTCATCAAACACCTAATATGTGAAGTCGATTACAATTTCCCATAATAGAAATTCCTCTACTCTCACCATAAATTTTCAAGCAGCCAACCAATATATCCCTACAACACCCATCAACCATCATTAGTCACATGCATGCCCAACCACTTGCCTCAAACCCACCAAAATCACATTTTCTAGTCTTAACATACTCCCAAATTCGAGATTGAGGGCTTATGGATTCCGTTCACCATCCCGTAATCCCTACCATGATAACATCCAACTTAAACCCATTATTAAACTTTGCATAAAATCTAAGGATGAAGTCCTATCTTGTAAGTAGGAGGTCTTGTGAGTTTCTCTTTTGAATTCCCAAGGTTTGTGCAAGAATTTGAGAGTATAATTTGACAAAGCCTCTCCCTCTCCCTCTCTCTAAATTGATTCCCTCACTCTAAAACATCAAGTTATATCTTATAAAATGACCTCCTAAGGCCCTATATCAAAAATAGGGTCGGATAATAAAATTTTCAAAAATAACCCCCCGATGTCAATTATGTGGTGCAATTTCGTGGTAGCAGAAAAGATATGTGGTCAGCAGAATGTCCACGAAATAGCATGTCAATTCCGCAATGCCGTTTCTCGGTAGCAGAATGGTTATGCGGCTAGCATAATGGCCAAAAAATGATTTTCAAATTCTGGGTTGGGTCTGGTCAACTCTGCGATGCAATTTCGCAGCGGCATAATGGTTATGCGGCAAGCAGAATGGCCTCAACATGGTTTTCAAATTTGAGTTGCTTCTGTTTCATTTCGTGGTGATTCTGTGGTCAGCGGAACATATCTGCTATAGCATAATGGACCAAAGAATCTTCGTTTTCTACAAATTCTTCTACCAACTCCATGAAACATTGCACAATCAAAAAATTCGGATTGTGAAACATTAGCTTACCTTGGCACCATACAAACATAAATTCTTGTTGAACTTTTACGAGGCCTTACATCCTCCCCCGCTTAGGATCATTCGTCCTCAAATGAGGAGTAGAGTCTACCCAAAACACCCAACATAACTCATCTCTTCCTTCACACATCACAAGCCCCCAAATTTTGAGTAACTCCCATATTTTTCAGAAATTTTGGCAGAGTCTCCTGTATAATTCGGCCTATCCACCTGCTAGAGAATCACAAAAACCACACCTAACAACACATCCACAACTCAACAAAGCATCAAAATATATATCGATAACACTTATCTCAACATTACAGGCATTACATTATCAATAGTGGCATCTGGACATGAAATGTATATATTAAAATCATAACACATAAAAAGTACCTTGAGAACCACAACCATTTGGCTATACAAACAAGTGAGAATATTTTCTTTTCACAACATCCTCGGCCTTCGAGGTGACCTCCTCGACACACAGACTTCACCATAGCACTTTGACAGATTCAATCTCAACTTCCGGACATGTCTAACAAGGATGACAATTAGGTAGCTCTCATAAGCCAAATATCCATTAACTTCACATTCAATAGCTTCCACCGGACTGATGGACAAAGGATTTCCAACTACCTTCTTTGACGTAGTGTCACGACCCATAATTCCCATCTTAAGGATCGTGATGGCGCCTAGCATTTCACTTGCTAGGAAAGCCAACATTAGAGTAATTCCTTGCCATTTTTTTTGAAACACTTCGAACAATTTAACCAATTAAACATAAATAAAGCCAAAATAAAGTACGAAATAGCATAATAAGTATAGCCCGGATCTAGAGTCGCAAGTACACGAGCTTATAAAGGCTCTACAAATAGGGTCTGAAATAAGTACAACTCTCTGGAATGAAATGAACAGTTAATAGGGAAAGAGGAAAAGGGAATTCAGGGTCAGCGAACGCCACTAGATCTACCTAAGTCTCCAAATAAGCTAATTCGATCTAATGCGCCTCACGAACGGCTGGGACTAGTACCAAAATCTACACAAGAAGTGATGAGTGTAGTATGAGTACAGCCGATCCAATGTACACCATAAGTGTCGAGCCTAACCTCAACGAGGTAGTGACGAGGCTATAACAGGACACTAAAGTAATTAAACCTTTACAAACGAGTATATATGTACAATATAACAACAAATAGAGATTAAACATGTACTAGTGGGAGGGGACATGCGAAAGGGGTACAAGATACGGTAAATACAACAGGAAATGACAACATGAAACATTCAATAAACCTTCAACCAATGAAAACGGATAAACATAATGAATAAAGACTGCATAGCATCACCCATCGTGCTTTTACTCTCAACCTCACCATAAAACAATAATAAATACGGCACGACATCACCCTCTGTGCTTTAACTCCCTTCCTCACTATGTATTGATCAATAAATGCAACAACAATCGGCACGATATCACCCTTCGTGCTTTAACACTCTCCCTTACCATGTCGTAGTGAATATATAACAATTGGGAGATAGAATAAGCAAGGATAAACCTTACACCAACAACGGTTCCACAATACCAACCTCAACTTCCAAAGAAGGAAATAAGTTACAAGAAACAAGTCCCACCCGCATGCTTTAACTCAACAACAACGCATAAGTACTCGTCACCTCATATATACATTGTAACCAAACAACGGAACATATAGCAAATAGGCAACGAGTCCTAATCCCTCAAGTCAAGGTTAACCACGATACTTACCTTGCTCCAAAATCGTCTCAAAGCTCAACCACAACTTTGCCTTTCGAACAAGCCTCTGAACCAACCAAATCTAGAAAATTTATCAACCAAATGATCCAAAATAAACCTTAGGAACTACCCACGAATGAAACAGGTTCAATTTAGGCCATCATTGAAAAAGTCAACAAAAGTTAACTCTTGGGCTAACTTGGTCCAAACCCGAAATTTGGACCAATACCTGATTACCCATTAACCTCCGAGCCCGGCTATGTAATTTGTTTCGAAATCCAGGCCCAATTTGAGGTATAAATTCCAATTTCACAGCAATTCCTATTTTTACCCAAATTCCCAACTTCTACCATGAAAATCCCAGATTTTAGGTTGAAATCTTATGAAAAGTAATGAGTAATTAAAAAAAAGTAGGTTAGAATCACTTACCAATGAATTAGGGAAGAAGAGTTCTTGGAAAAATCGCCTATAAGGTTTTTTAGGGTTGAAAATTTAAAAGAATGAGAAAAATCCCGTCTAACTCAGCTTTTGACCAGGCATAGATGTTGCAATTTCGAAGCCTTCACACCTCTCCTATCATCGCATTTGCGATGATTTGTTCGAAAATGTAAACTATGGTCCTCCGTAAATGCGACCATTTTTTATCAAAAATGTGATCTTAGCTGACCCACCCCCTTTTCACAAATGCAAAGATTTTCTTCGCAATTGCGACCAAGACAGGAAATTTGGTTCTTCGCAATTGGGAACACTGACCCCGCAATTGTGAGGTCTGAGACTTGCACAAGAACTTTTTTCTTTCACCAGCTATATTCCAAGTCCAATTCCACTCCGTAGCCTATTCGAAACTCACTCGAGCCCTCAGGGATCTAAACCAAAAATGCACACAATTCCAAAAACCTCATACAAACTCGCTCGCGCGATCAAAACACCAAAATAATACCTAGAACTACGAATCAGACACCAAATCAAATGAAACTTTCAATGAAGCTTACGAATTTCTAGTTTAACAACTGGATGTCTAAATCACGTCAAATTAACTATGTTCTGCAGAAAAGTCATAATATAGTACTCAACCATTACGAAGCTCCGGAACCAGAATCCGGACCTAGTAGCAATAAAGTCAAACCTTGGTTTCATTCATCTTTTGGTTATTATGCTTCTGCTACTATTACGGTTTCTACTGGAAGTACTAATGAATTGTCTTTTCTTGTTTTTTATTTCCGTCTTTCTGAGCCGAGGGTCTATCGGAAATAGCCTCTCTGCCCTATCGGGGTAGGGGTAAGGTCTGCGTACACATTACCCTCCCCAGACCCCACTTGGTGGCATTTTACTGGGTAGTTGTTGTTGTTTTGTTGTTGCTTGGTCAAATCTTTATATTCATTAAATCTTTAAACTTCAAATTTTCAACAAAATGTGATAGCTCAAGCCAGGGACCTCCGAATTCGATTCCAGGCATACGCCCAAGTCCCAAATCACAATACGGACCCACTGGGACCGTCAAAACACGGATGCGGGTTCATTTTCTCAAAACATTGACCGAAGTGAACTCGAATGGATTTAGACACAAATTCACATTTTAATTAATTTTTCACATAAGAGCTTTTCAAAAAAAGACACGGGCGACGCACGAAAATCGAGGAAGGTAAAAAGGGGCTATTTGAGGTTTCGAAACACATAATTAAGGCTTAAAACTCTAGATGACCTATCAGGTCATCACACATAGACACATGAAGCACCAAGTGCATGGAGAACAACGATGGGAAAACATCATACTCATAGTTTGACCTATTTCCTTCAAGATTCCTTAAGGCACAATGTGAACTACACCTATTTTACCTTCATTAACAATTCGCATAATTTCTTCATGGAGAAAATCTTGAAAATAACCCATTCACTTTCTTCAACTCCAAATATCTATGTCGAACACACGAATTAAACTCTTATAGGCCCTTAACCTCCTTCTCCTCTTTATTATACGATGTCATTGAATGAATATGACCATAGAGTTTCCTACACAATATGTTTTATCATTGAATGATGCTTCTTCTTTGACATATCTGAAACTACAAATCCCTTGAGATCTACTACAAATAGAAACAATGAATTTTCGAGTTTGAGCTGGAATTATTCAAAAATCCATCAATGTGCTGAGCAGAGGAATCTAAGGAGGTTATACCCTAAGAGATATGAAGGTTACTACCAATAGCGCTAAAATGGTTAATCATTATGATGGCAGCATTGATTCGACAAATGAGACGTAGAGTTAACTAGTACACATTGATAATGTGGGAACCACATATATCATCCTGAGATGTAAAAGAAGTGAGTCGTTTTAGACATGTGATATATGGGAGGCATGATCGGGAGGATAAAGACGTTAGCATAAGTTATCCTTAGAAGACGATGAGTTATGAAAGGGATACTAACAATTGTTTTATGCCACATGCGCCACGTTCGACAATGGTAAGTCTTAAGGAGAAATAGCCAAGTACATGACACCACTCGCCTCCTGAAGTGTAGGGAAAATCATCTCAACTTGAAATGAGAAGATTCTTGCACCGTGAATGATGGAGGTTTCAAAAATACATGACGTTGTGTAATTCTCTTGACAGAATTCGACACAAGGAGACTACACCTCGAACCCACGAGGTTGAAAAAGAGGTTGATCACTTATGAGATTATTATTCTGGCAGCTTAACCCTTCCTAATAGTTGATCTTATTCCAGAGGACTAGAGATATGATAGACTTGTCCTTCAAATTAAAATGTTCATGATATGTATCAAGATCTGAGGCATCCGCCTGAAGTGGGGAGGGAAAGGACATAGTAAGGCCACTTAACTTCAACCATACACGAGTGAAACAATGTAGCTTGGACGTCTTAATATTGGATTAAATCATGCATTGGTTAAAGAGGGTCTAATGGTTAATATTATGCTCCAGGAGATAGGCAAATAAAACAACTATCCACCCAAGGATGTGTAATATTAAGGATAGTAAACTCTCTGCACATGATAATGGCATTGTAAATGATTCTAGAAGCCTAGTGTTTAAAGATAACGTAATCCGGGGAGGCACTATAGAATAATCATTGAAGGTTTGTGAATGTTCATAATGAGTTCGCCACGGATCTTGTGACTTGAAAAGTACCCGGAGGCTAATGAAGGATGGGAAAAACATGAGAAGAAGACATGATTCTATGATAACCCTAAAAGTGCATTCGGTCTTGACGTAGAGCTACTAAGTATCCATATGAGAAAGGAAGTGTTAGAATGACATATGGAAGGACGCGATCTCGCATGGTTATCTAGAAAGTGTCGGGAGAATAACCCAATGAATTTACTAACTAAGGAACACATTCATAACACGTTGTAGAGGTGTACAGAGAAAATGAACACTTCTTATGAACTAGGCACATTTCTGCTATAACAACTCTCAAGCTGCAGTAACCGACCATGTCATGTCTGCTACAATACTAGGAACGAGGTGAATTACTCACTGAGGTATGATCTAGGTGGATTGAATGTTATACTGAGCTGGGCAAACAAAAGATCTTCACATGATGAACTTAAGAGGATCTCAAATTTCTAAGAGACTATAAGCGGATGAGTGACCATTTCAATTTACATGTGCACATATAATAGGTTTTGAGATATGCTCTTATGTTACTAGACTATAAAAGGGTCCATGATAATGTTCACAAGAGATTAAAGTGATTCATCAAACCATAGGAGCCACATACACAGGAGAGAGATAGTGGCTTAGGAAAGATCTCAACGCTAGGCTGTCTTACATTAGATTTGGTACCATGTAGGTAAACATTATGATGGTGCATGCATAAGAACAAGTGAGCAGATGTTATCCATTTGAATTGGAAGGTTATATAAGAATTCATCAAGTATAGCCCCTTGTTAT